ATGTCAAAGGTTAAAGATAAAGAGAGAATCTTAAAGCAGCAGGAGAAAAGCAGAGAGTTACCTACAGAAGAGTTTCCGTAAGACTATCAGCTGATTTCTCAACAGAAACTTTGCAGGTAGAAGGAACTGTCAAGAACTATTCAAAGTGATAAAAAGCAAGGACCTACAACCTAGATTACTCTACCCAGCAAAGCTATCATTTAGAATGGAAGGAAAGATAAAGAGCTTCCCAGACAAGGTAAAGCTAAAGGAGGCCATCATCACCAAGCCATTATTATACGAAATGTCAAAGGGACTTATTTAAGAAAGAGAAGATCAAAACAATGAATATCAACGTGGCAATAAATTTATAACCATCAACAATTAATATAAAAAACAAACTAATCAAACAACCAGAACAGAAACAGAATCATAGAAATGGATATTATTTGGAGGGTTATCAGTTTGGAGGTGGAAGTGGTAGAATGGAGGAAAAGGTTCAGAGATTAAGAAATACAAATTGGTAGGTACAAAATAGAGAAGGTGATGTTAAGAACAGTGTAGGAAATTGAGGAGCCAAAGCAGTTATATGCATGACCCATGGTCATGAACTGGGGGGAAAGTAGAAGGCAATAGGCAGAAAGTACTGAGTGGAGAAGGGATAAGGGAGGAAAATTGAGACAGTTGTAATAACATAATCAATAAAATACATTTTTTAAAAAACGGAAGAAAGAACCCGAGCAACCCACAGGGTATCATCTCTTGAGCAGAATGGCCAGCTATTTACATCAACCTCTTTCATCATGGAAGGGGCAGTTATTCCTCCTTCCTGGGAATGGCATGATTACATTATATTAAGTGTTCAGAATAAGTAAATCCATAGAGAAAAAAGACAGGTTAGTATTTGCCAGGGGTTGGGGGAGAGAAGGATGAGGAGTAACTGCTAACAGGTATGGGGTTTCATTTTGTGGTGATGAAATTCTGGAACTAGATGTGATAATTAAAACTTTATGAATATACTAAAACCATTGAATTGTATGTTTTAAAATAAATGTACATTAAATAATAGCGATAACACCAAATGCTGCTTAGGTTTCAGAGAAACTCATATATTGCTGGTGGCTATAGGAAATAGTATAGCCATTTCCACCCTAGAAGACAGTGGGCAGTTTCTTATAAAAGTGAATGTGCAACTACCTTATGACACAATAATTTGATACCTGGGCATTTATCCCAGATACATAAAAGCTATGTTCACTAAAAAATCCGTAAATGAATGTTTATAGAAGCTTTGTTTGCAACAGCCAAAAATTGGACACAACCCCAGAGGTTCTTAAACAGGTGAATGGTTAAACACACTGCTCAGCAATGAAAAAGAATGAATGAATTGATAAATGCAATAACCTTGATAAGTCTGCAGAGAATTGAGCTGAATAAAAAGAGCCAATTTCAAAAGATTATGGACTGTAAGATTCTATTTGTATAACATTCTTAAAAGGCCAACATAATGGAAATGGAGAACAGAATGGCGATTGACTAGGGAGGGAACCCTAGTCAATACCAGTGACTAGGGAGAGATGAAAGCAGGAGGGAACTGGGTGTGGCTATAAAAGGGCAACATGAAGGTTCCTTATGGTGATGGAAATGTTTTGTATCTTATTTCAGTATCTGTATCTTGGTTGTGATATTGTACTACAGTTTTAAAAGATATTACCACTGGGTAAAATGGGTGAAGAGTACATTAAACAGATCCCTTCGGATTATTTTTACAACTGCATGGTTATCTATGATTATTAAAATAAAAGTTTAATTAAAAAACCAGTAGGTCACAACAAGAAGACCACCAGACATCTATTGGAACATTAAAAATTCAGAACACTGACAACAGCAAATGCTGATGAGGATGTGGAAGAACAGAAACTCTCATTCTTTGCTAGTGGGAATGCAAAATAGTACAGCTATTTTGGAAGACAGTTTGATGGTTTCTACAAAACTAAACATACTCTTACTATATGATCAAGCTACTGTGCTCCTTGGTACTGTCATCCGATGGTAACTGGCACCAATTCGACACCAACAGAAACCCCCAGTTTGGGGTGTGGTGAAGAAGGAAACTTTATTCAGTGCAAAACAGCTCAATTGTGTGATACGCCACAGCTGTGAAAACACTGTGACTATAGAACAGCTCTGGGGCTAGGCCCCACCCCACATAGACAGCTGTGTTCTGCATGTCTCTCTCTCTCTCTTTTTTTTTTGGCAGTTTAGCACTTTATTTTATTTATTTATTATTGTTTATGCTATTAGAGTTGTCTCCACTTTTGTATCTGGATGGTCTGTTCTGCTCCGCTCTGCTCTGCTCTGGCCAGACATCATCCCTGTTTCAGTTCAGCCAGGAGCCTTAGTCTTCAGTTTTCGGTGGAAAGGCAAAGTATGCTCTCTGAGCTTATCCATTATTGATCTGTTCTCATACAAATGAGGAATCCAAATTCTTGCAGTTTGATTAGTCTAAAAGGCACTGTCCTGATTGGTCAGAATAGAGCAACTCTGATTGGCTTGAGTAGCACAGCTCTGACTGGATGGGGAAAACCTCAGTCCTATTGGTTCAAATAGGATTCCAGGAACTCCTTTATCAGGGCTGTCACAGATGGCAGACACAGAGTGCAGGCAGGCAGTTCTGTGCTGGATTTTCCACGAACTGTAGTTTGTATGAGAGTCTCTGTGTGGACATGGCTGCTAGGCTCTGTCTCTTTTAAATTGAGCCCAGTTAGCCCATAGAAGCTCTTCTTAGTAGGTGCTTTTCTCCACCTAACGTCCCCACCACAGTTCAGAGTATTTACCCAAAGAAATTGAAAGCTTATGTTCACACAAACACCTGCACAAAAAATGTTTTTAGAAGCTTTATTAATAATTGCCCAAACTGAGAAGAAACCAAAATATCATGGAATGAGTAAATAGCTAAATAAACTATGGTACCTTCCCATAATGGAATATTTTTCAGAGCTAAAACTGAATGAGTTATGGAGTCATGAAAAGACATGAAAGAAACTCACATGCCTATTTCTATGACATTCTGGAAAAGGCAAAAACAAGGAGACAGTAAAAAGATTAGTGATTGCCAGGTGTTAGCAGGGTTGGAGGAATAACTAAGCAGAGCACAGAGGAATTTTAGGTCAGTGATACTATCAAGGTGGACACACGTAATTATGCACTTGTCCAAACCCACAGGACGTACACCACCAAAGTGAACCCTACTGTACACCGTGGACTTTGGATTATAATGGCATGTCAATGTAGGGTTTATTAGTTGTAACAAATGCACTGCTCTGGTGAGGATACTGACAATGGGGAAGGCTTTGCCAGACGGTGTAGAGAACCCCGGCATGTAGATAGAAAACCTCTGTACCTTCTGCCTAATTTGCCTGAAACTGCTTTAAGAAAGTGTGTTTTTTTAAAAGAAAAAGAGATAAAACAATTAAAATACTAGAATGAAACAGGAATATTGTGAAACCTCAGAGTAGGAAAGGCAGGACACAACACATAAAGGCCTCCAAAGGAAAAAAGTATAAGTTTGATTCATAAACGTTTTAAGTTTCTACCTGGAAAAGTCAAAAGACAAATAATAAACTGCACCAAATATTTGTAAAAATATGACACAAAATTCCAAATCGGCATTATAGGAAAAGCTGGTACCACTAATAAAAAGCAGACCAACAGAGAACTAAACATGAACAGACTATTTCCAGAAATAAAAATGTAAGTATGAAAAGAAGTCCAACTTCATTTATAATTAAAGAATTCTATATTAAAACAATAACTAAGTAGTATTTTTCATCTATCATTTTGCCGAAAATGTGGAAGTTTGCTAATATATGGCATGTTTAAAAGTGTGAAAAAACTGGCACAATCGAAAACTTGTGTCTACACTAAAACCCGTACACAGGTGTTTACAGCAGCCTTATTCATAATTACCAAATCTTGGAAGCAACCAAGATGTCCTTCAATAAACTGGAAAAATTGTAGTGTATTATACAATGTAATACTATCTACCAGTAAAAGAAATGAGCTATCCAGCCACAAAAAGACATGGAGGGATCTTAAATAGCTATTGCTAAGTGAAATAAGCCAACTTGAGAAGTCTGTACACTGTATGCTTCTACCTATGCTGTATGAAATTCTGGAAAAGGCAAAAGTATAGAGACTGTAAAAATACCAGTGTTGCCAGGGGTAAGAAGAGGGAGAGGTGAATAGTTGGAGCACAGGGGACTTTTAGGATAGTGAAACTACTGTGTATGATGCTGTCATGGTGAGTATATGTCATTATGCATTTGTCAAAAGCCACAGAGTACACAGCGCAGACTGAGCCTCAATGGACATGAAGGACTTACATGCATACACACAAGCCAAAAAGAAATAGGTGAGGATGCTTTACTACCGGTCCAGGTCACAGTCCCTCACTGATACTCCAAAAATACTTAACAACAAAGGAGAAGAGATATCTTAATATATCACCCACCTCTCAAAGGAGGCAGACATACATCCAAATGAAAGTAGTTTTGATACAAGCTCCACTCTTCTATGCTACTGAGACAGAAAACTCAGATTCTCTTAAAGAGTAATAAAGGCCATACACCCTAAAAATTCACATTTATAGGCAATCATTCAAAACAAGCTACATATATAGATTGCACAGTCTCTTAACTCATCAAATGGGTGAATTTAACTAAGTTATTCAAGTAAAATCAAAGCTTAAACATTTTAAAGATTAGACCTTCATAACTTTTAAAATTAATGAAAGAAAACTACAAACTCCTGAACCAAAATTTTATTTTACATTTTAAAGCATATTAGTGCATATGAAAAATGTTCATAACATGTGACATAAAGATGTTAGCACATTGAACAATAGGAAACATTTTTATACAACTTTTGAATCACTAATATGCTTATTTCACCTCTGAATATAGGTGAATGCCAAGTTCTCTGAATATAGGTGAATGCCAAGTTCTCCTAAGTCACCTTTGTCATGGAACATCAAGTAGGTTTAAAATTTTTATATTATTGTTTAATAACTTCCTAATAAGGTTTTGAACTTCTAGTCGACTTACACATAATATTTTTTTCAATGTACTGATTACTGTAATAACTTTTTCTCTCATCTCCGATGGAACATATTTAGTATCTAAATATTGAGATAACTTTGATCTGGAGTTATACAGCGTGTTAATAACAGTTTCAAGGTCGTCAGTCTCGAAGCCGTTTTGCCCCAGGGGCAGTAACTGGGACCTATACATCTTGTTCAGCCTGTGCTCGGCCGCGGCGGCCACTGCGAGGCTCCGTTTCAGGTGCTCTCTGACGGCTTGAATGTCCGCTTCGTACTCTGGCTTGAGGTTCTCAGCGAGAGGTACCTGATGCACTTTCGAACTAATGTCTGAAATTTTTTTCAAAATCTCTTCATTACCCAAAACGAGTGGGTGTTTTTCAAGTGTTTGTGTTTCATATTCGCCCAAGAGCTGAGGAACATCTTCCATGTCGGTGGAGGTATGCCAGTCAGTGCTCCTACTTGAAGGGCTGGGAGGAGATTCGGTGACATAGGGCCACGACATCGGTGCCTGGGTTTGTTTGACCTTTGGCTCTGGCTCTGGCTCTGGCTCTGGCTCTGGCTCTTCTTTGACAATGTAAGGCTCCTTTGTATGTAAAACAACAGAAATATTGCTTGGTTTAATAGACCAGAATGCTGTACTTTTAGTGTGTTTTTTCCTCCTTTGTTCTGGTAAGAAGCTTCTAGTCGGGAAACTTGTCGTTTCATCACTCGCAGGGGTGGTTACAACATTCTCAGTGGAAGCTCTGTCAGGTGTAATTATCGCCTTAAGTTTCGATACCTTTGGTTTCATAGAGTGAACAGTACTCGGAGACTCTGATTTTTTCTCACTGGCTGGCTCCCTGGTGGGAACACTTAACACTAGGTTCTGTAAAACTTGTACATAATGATTCACATTTTTTTCTTCATCAGATGTCACAATTTTGCCTTAAGAAAAAAACAAGCAAACAATAAGTAGCATTTATTATGATATATGACATATTGACAAAATATACCCAAATTTACTTTATGTGACATCACTTAAAAGTTAAGGGAAAGCCCTGGCTGGGTGGCTTAGTTGGTTGGAGCATCATCCCATACACACAAAGGTTGTGGGTTCAATTCCTGGTCAGGACACATACCTAGGTTGCAGGTTCGATCCATGGTCAGGGCCGGTACACTGAAAAGCCTGTTCATGGCTGCATATCAACACCCTCCCTTCTACCTTGCTTTGCCTCGTTTCTTTATGCACCATTTGTCTTTACATTGTTCTGTTGTTAAATCCATCCTCTCCCCACACACTTCCCATCTCCTACTTTGTCCCCCTAAAATATCTACATGTTTCCTATTGACCTTCTCTGTTCTACTGATCAGAACTGCTCTTGCCAATCAGTTTGGTCTTTATAAAAATGTTTACAGGCAGGTAGTAAAAGAGAGTCAAGCTTCAAGTATCCTTACAAATGGCCCTGGCCACTGTAAACACATGCTTTATCCCATTTTTTAGGAGAAGCTAGAAAGATGAACAAACTTCAAACTCTTACAAAGACCAGGCTACTCTGCTAGAAGTTGTGTTATTAAACTTTGACTGTTTGTAGCCTATACTGGTGTTCTTTATCATATCTCCTCTATTTTACCAGTAAGTGATCCAACCATACACAACGATGTCTCAGAATGTGGCTATACTAAGAGTCCCTTCCACTTTGAAAAAACATAATGCTGCTTCCCAGAGCCTCTAGTTAATAGGATGGCTACCTGCTAAGCAGGCTTGAGGTTAGTAAGAATCACAGATATGGAAGTTATAGGGGAGTTGAGGCTGTCTGCACTTCTCTTCTTGAAACAGACTGGGGAGAATTAGGCACATGGCAAGACAGGAAAGTAAACAAAATGGTAAAACAAGTGTAGGAACAAAGTGGCACGCGGTCTGAAGGGGAAATTAGAAAATAGTGATTAGAAAGACCATAACAGCTTCAACTGACTAATTGCTCTGTGCCTTACTACAGCCTTTGAGTGTGCTTTTATAAAGAGGGTAAGGAGGGTACTTAGAAAGGACAAGTAATTTGCCTAAGATTATATCCAACTTGTCAATGGTGGGAATGGAATTGGAACACATGCTGTCTTGCTGCAAAGCAGGTACACGCAATGACTACACAGTGTTGTCATAAAAAGATGACACAAGGATGCAGGCAAAACAGCAGGTGTGTAGTGATACAGTTGTCTGGGAAGGACACAACTCTGTCTTAAAATACATGTGAATAGTCAAATATAATCAATCAACAAATAAAATGAGATTTTCAAAATATACAAAAGTTTGCTCTACTGAAACTAAACCAGTTACCTTTGATACATTAGGATGTATTTTGAAATATGAAACATATCTGATCCAAATTTAATATATTTTCTTACTATAAAATATGGGCAGGAACTGACAGTCAGTGACCTACAAAAGAATAAATTCCCTTCACGCAGAGGTAAACAGCCAATTAATTAGTTTTGAGTTTATTGTAGGAAAATGATAGAAATTATCATTTAAAATGAACAATGAAATATAAAATTTCAATCAACAAAAAGTACATTCAAAGCATGTATTTCCTTCCCATAGAAGGGCCAATTAAAGGAGGAAGAAGAGAGTATAAGGAGCAACATAAAAGCCAATTAGCACGAAAACTTTCTAAAATTCACTGTTCACAAAAGAAACACAAGTTAAAAACAAGTTTTAATATACCAGTCAAGCAGGCAATTTTTTTTAAACAATAAAACCTAGAATTGTACACTGAAATTAAGAACAGGTTGACAGTGACCAGAGGGGAGAGGAGAGGGGAGGGAATTTCAGGGGGAAAGGGTAAATGGTCTGCAGACACAAGTACAAAGGACACATGGACAATAAAGGGGGGGCGTGGAAATGGGAGGGGGTGGGAAGGGCTGGGGGGGTGGGCTGGGATGGGGGTAAAAGGCAGAAAACTATACTTGAACAACAATTAAAATAAAAATTTAAAACATTTTCAAAAAACCCCTAGAATTGTCATGTGCATATATTACTTCCTTAGCAAAGAAAGTAACTTCCTTACTGTCCTATAATCCTGAGATCCTTCATTAGTCCATCTCTAGTACACTGATTTTTTCTTTATAGAATTTAGGATAATTTAACTGTATATATTTGTGTCATGATTGTTAACTGCTACATATTGTAAGCTCTTTGAGACTGTGACAGTGTCTGCTTTGTTCTCTATAGCCCCTAGGCAGTGCCTAGAGCCACAGTAGACAATTACAAAGCATTTGTCAATTGAACGATTGAATGAATGAACCAAAAGCTGCAAGTATGTAAATTAATTGTGCCTCCAGTAACTTATCTTAAATAAAGAAAAATGTATAAAATAAATGCTGTTGAGGAAAACTCAACTTCATGTTACGTTTAAAATAAATCTGCTGGCCCTGACTGGTGTGGCTCAGTGGGTTGGGCATCATCCCTGCAAAGCGAAAGTTTGCAGGTTCAATTCTAAGTCAGGGCACATGCCTGGGTTGTGGGCCAGGTCCCCTGCTGGGGACTTGCCAAGAAGCAACTATTCAGTGTTTCTCTTGAACTTCCATGCTTTTCTCTCTCTCTCTTTCTCCCTCCCTTCCCCTTTCTCTAACAATAAATAAGTAAAATCTTTAAAAATTAATTAATTAATTAAATCTGCTGGTCTAAAAACTGTTTTTGTTTTTGTTCGACTTTTGGGAGGTATGAGAGGAGTTGCATTAATCATCCAATAGTTATTAAGGGAAAAATCTGGGCAATAAAAAAATGTTCTCTTATTTTAGGCAAAGCAGGCAGTTTTTATGATAGAAGATACAGCTTTAACCATATTTTTCTAAATTTTGAAGTGTGAAGTTTATCTAAAGCAACATCATGAACGTTGACATTCAACATTTCCAGTTTTCAGGAAGACCCTGCATGTCTTCTAACTGGCCCTTGCCAAATGGCCTAGTATAAATTTAGGTCACTAAATTTACCTAAATTTGCTTAAGTTCTATTAATTTCATATTATTGGGTTTTATCATCCCTAAAGTAACGCTGCATTAACATAATTTTAAGTACATTATAATCTTAAGTAATGTTAATGTATCTTCATAACTGATCTAACCCATATTTTAAGACAATTCAGTCATTTTTAGTATATTCACGGTTATGCAACTGTCATCACCATCTAAGGTGAAAACAATTTCATCACTCCCGAAATAAATCCATTCCAAATTGCCCCATCCCTCAGCCTAGGCAACAACTAATCTACTTTCTGTGTCTATGGATTTGCCTATCATATACATTATACATAAATGAAATCCCACAATATGTGGTCTTTTGGGACTGACTTCTTTCACTTAGTATATTTTTAAGGTCATCTATATTGAAGCATTTGTCAGTGTTTCATTTCTTTCTGTAGTATCCATTGTTACTTCTCTTTCATTTTTTATTTTATTTACTTGGGTCCTTTCTCTCTTTTTCTTTTTTTCCTCTTTTTATTGAATTTTATTGGGACGACAGTGGTTAACAATATTATACAGGTTTCAGGTGCACAATTCCATAACATATCATCTGTACACTGTAGTGTGTGTTCATCACCCCAAGTCAAGTCTCCTGCTACCACCTTTTATCCCCTCATCCCCTCCTCTCTTCCCCCCCTTCTCTCTTTTTCTTGATGAATGTGGTTAAATGTTTATTAATCTTGTTTATCTTTTGAAACAATAGGTATTGGTTTCATTGATCATATATATATTATATAGTCTAAATATATACTATATAGTCTAAATATATAGACTATATATTATATATATTATATTTAGACTATTGTTTATTTCTTCTCTGACCACTTTGGCCCTTGTTTGTTGCTCTTCTTCCATTTCCTTTAACTGGAAAGTTAGATTATTTATTGAGATTTTTCTTGTTTCTTAAGGTAGGCCTGTAATGCTACGAGTTTCCCTCTTAGGACTGACTGGTTTTGCCAGGCCCCATAGATTTGGGGTTGTTGTATTTCTCATTTTCATTTGTTTCAAGGTATCTTTTTATGTCTTCCTTGATCTCATTGTTAACCCATTCATTGTTTAGTAACATGTTATTTTGCCTTCATGTGTTTGTGTGTTTTCAGTTTCTTTCTTATAATTGGTTTCTAGTTTCATAGCATTGTAGTTGGAGGAGGTGGTTCATATGATTTCAATCTCCTTAAATTTATTGAGATTTGTTTTGTGTCCTGACATGTGTTCTTGAAAAGAATGCATATTTTGCTGCTTTGGGTAAAATACTCTAAAAGTGTCAATTAAATCTATCATGTCTAACAAATAGGTCATTTAAGACTGCTGTTTCCTTTTTGATTTTCAGTCTAGAACATCTGTCAATTGGTGTCAGTGGGCCATTAAAGTCCCCTGGTATGACTGTTTTCCTGTCTATCACTCCCTTTATGCCCGTCAATATTTGCTTTTATATTTAGGTGCTCCTATGTCGGGTGCATAAATGTTTACAAAGGTCATATATCATCTTGCTGGACTGATCCCTTTATTATTATGTAAGATCTTTTTTTGTCTCTTTGCTATAGCCTTTGTTTTAAAGTATTTTGTCTGACGTAAGTATTGCTACCCCAGGTTTTTGTTTGTTTCTGTTTACATAAAATATCTTTTTCTGTCCCTGTACTTTCAGTCTGTATGTGTCTAATTTCAAGTGGGTCTCTTATAGGCAGCATATTAATGGGTCTTGTTCTCTTATCCATTCAGCTAGCCTATGTCTTTTGATTGGAGCATTTAATCCACTCACATCTAAAGTGATAATTGATAGGTAGTATTTATTGCCATTATATTATTTATATTAATGTTCCTCTTTTATTTCTTTCTTCTGAAAGAAGTCCCTTTAACATTTCTTATAATACTGATTTATTGCTGATAAACTGCTTTAGCATTTCCTGGTCTGAGAAGCTCTTTATTTCTCCCTCAATTTTAAATGATAGCCTTGCTGGGTAGAGTAGTCTTGGTTGTAGGTCCATACTTTTCATCACTTTGAATATTTTATGCCAATCCCTTCTGGCCTGGAAAGTTTCTGTTGAGAAACTGTCAGCTGACAGTCTTATGGGAACTCCCTTGTAGGTAACTAACTGGCTTTTCTCTTGCTGCTTCTAAGGTTCCCTTTTTGTCTTTAACCTTTGGCATTTTAATTATGATGTGTCTTGGTATGGGCC